AACTTCAGTAGAGATGAGATGCTTAAAACTCTAGCAAAGGTGGATTTTATGGATGAAGGTTCCCATGTGATTTTGATAAAGAGCACTTTGTGAAGCAATTCATGCTTTCCTTAAAAAAACAAATCCATCCTCAGTGTGATAACTAATACATCAACTACCGTCCAGGGCAGGCCCTGTGCCCAGGAATAATCAGCTAACACAAACTGGTCTTGATGCATTTGGGGGGGGGTAAAGAGAGAGGGAGGTGGGAAGACAGGTGTGCTTAAATTTTTATTCCTTGTATGTTAAAGTATTTCTTGAGTTTTGTCTCCTTTTTAGGAGACAGTATCTTTCATTTTTAGATTATGATTTTCATCTGTTTGGCATTTTTTTTTGTCATGCTATCATTTTTTGTGGGGTTTATTTTTCTGTACTTTCTTCTCTTCAATAAGTTTATATGTATCATGGGCATGACACTTTTCTGTTGTTCATTTTTACTTGAAATTAGGCTCTTTGTTGCCTGTTTTTGACATTTAGAAATGACATATTATTCCCGTGGCTTTCTGACACAGACTAGTAGGAAAGAAAATTTAAGCACAGCTGGGAAAATCCTTCACCTAGGATAGTGGAGCGCCTGGTCTGGCTCTTGAGCCTTAGCCATTTGGGAGCCAGAATACTGGTTCTCACACACTGTCTCCACTGTTCTTAGTTACTCCTTCCCTTAACTTGTTGATGGCTACACTTCTAACTTCAGCAGCCGAACTTTTACTTTTGGACAACCTGTCCAAAAGGCTGATTCAAGGTTGGGCTGTTTGCTTTTGTCTTTCATAACCTGGAGTACCTGAAGCATTCTTATGGGGGGAATAGCATTGTGTTTCCATGTCTACATCATTGTCTTGTATGTGGTTGGCATTAAGGAGAAAGCACAAGATCCATGTTCCTGGTCCATGTAGAACTCTCCATCTAAGGAATGACTATGTGTTAGTCTGTTAGAGGTGCTGCATCCCATTCTCCTGAAAATGATCTAATTTCATCCCTCTGGATGGCTGAATAAAATTCCATTGTGTCCATGTACCTCATTTCCTTCATTCGTGCCTATCTTGATGGCCATGTCAACCCATCCACGATAACCTGGCTGTCATGGGCAGTGCTGCAGGAAATATGGTATCTCTGTATATAGTGACCAGGGATAATGTTGCTGTGGAAACGCTGCTTCAGTTTTAAGGGAGTTTGTTTAGTTTTTTTGAAGAACTTCATGCTAATTTCCATGCTGGTTATACTGACTCCCTTTCCTACCAATAGTGTATAAGGGTTTGCAGATTCCTGCCACCATTGGTGTGTCCCCCACCCACACACAATCCCATTTGTCAATTCCTGCTGTTATTTTCTGGTCTGTTGTAGTCCTTTTCAGAAAGTCCTTGTCCATACTGTATCCTGAAAGTGTTTTTCTCTGTAACTTCACCCAGTTTTAACAAACCTTCAGATCTTTTGTTAAAGTCTGCCGTCCACTTTGAATTGGTGTTTGTGCAGGGTGAGACTCTGGTATCTCCTTTCTTGTGAATGCTGGTATCCGGTTTTCCTGGCACCATTTGTTGAAAAGGCTGTCTTTCTCCAGTGTGTCTCTGGCACCTGCATTTGTTTCTTTTCTTGTCATTGTGGCCAAATACCTGACAGAAGCAATTTAGTGGTGGAGGGTTTAGTTTACAGTTTAAGCATGGGGATAGTCCATCAAAGTAGGGAGAGCAAAGTAGCAATGGTGTAAATAAAGTGTGAGGCAGCTGTCTCATGACATCCATAGTGAGGTTGCAGACAGCAAATGGGAAGCGGGGCCAGGCTCTGACACCTTGCGGCCTGCCCGAGATCCACGTCGTTTAGAGAGACTTTCTCCTGGAGATTCCACATTCCATGGGAACAGTGACATATTCCGAGGACCACATCTCCAAGTTTATGAAGAACATTTTACCCTTAAATCACAGTGACACATTAGTCAGATAGCAGTTGGCTGTCGCCCTGTAGACTTGTTTCTGGGACCTCTGAGCCTTCCATTGGTCTAGTATCTGCTTTTGTGGTGGTAGTGTGCTGTTTTGTTCTCTGCATCATTTGAGATCAGGTACTCCAGCAACTGTAATTTTCCTCAGGATCTGGCTTTGGCTTCTCTCAATCTTTATTACTTCCACAAGAATTTTAAGATTTTTTTCTGTTTTTCTGCTATAATTTCACTTACTAATTTCCTGTAACAACAGTTGGCATCTCAGCTCCTTTTTTTTTTTTTTTTCTTTTTCTTTTTTCTTTTTTTTGTTTCTACCCATGGATTTTGAATTTAGCCTCTTGATCATGTTTCTGGGTTCTTGAAAGTTGTAATAATTCTGCCTTTTTTCTTTATCGACGTCTGAGACAGTATTTCTTTCACCTTGTCTTTCTTTTATTCTTGGTAACTTTTATCATCTGCTTTCTCTGGTCCATTGGTGATGCATTCCAGTATGTTTATTTGATTTAGTTTTTCATCCCAACAACCTGCCTGATTTCATTTCTGAATCTGAATTTCCTCGATGCTGAATTTCTCATCTATGCTGCCAACTTTCTTGCACAAGCCCTGAGTTGAAATCCTTACTTCATTAAACTATTTGTTTGAATATTTTTTGAGATCATTGATCAGTGTTCAATGTAGACTTTGGATTCTTTGTCTGGTATTCTTTCATTTCTGTGTCCTTGGGTTTGGTTCCTGCAGTCATGCTCCTTTGGAGCAGTCATATCGCCTCACATTTTCACACCTGTTGTCTCTGGGCTGGAATTTATGCAGCTGTTTGGAGAGCTCCGCCTTTTGGTTTTATTTCAAGTTCTTAGTGGCCAACCGTCACTTGAGAGCACAAACCTGCTATTTCTCATAGAGGAAAAAACAAACAGCAATGCCAAACTTAACCAGATATTTCATGTATCCAAAGTTTTAAAATAGATTCCTGGATGCAACAAAACTTGTGTCTCAGGCTTTGCTGTTGTTTTTATTGGCATTTCTTGATTCTGTGAACTGCACTTTGATGTTTTTTTGTAACCTTGCTTTTCTACTTAACCAATATTTCTCCCCTTATTATAATTCCTTAGAAATAAGTTGCCTACTGCATAACACACTGCCTTGAGCTTGCTATTAAGACCAATGAGGTGTTAAGCTGTTGGTCATATCTGCGGATGGGGGTGTGTGTGTGCATATTTTGCTATAAGCCTCTTTTCTCCTGATCTTGTGACCTCCAGACTCAGTATGACTCTAGAGGAACCCTCTAGTATCTGTCACTGTAGTGATCTGGGAGATTTGTGTTGCTGAATCTCAGTTTCTGAAAGGGGACTGAAAGTGCAGTGGAAGCCACCAATACTCTGGGTATAGTAGAAGCCACCAATACTCTGACAGTAGTGGAAGCCACCAATACTCTGGGTATAGTAGAAGCCACGAATACTCTGACGGTAGTGGAAGCCACCAATACTCTGGATATAGTGGAACCACCAATACTCTGACAGTAGTGGAAGCCACCAATACTCTGAATATAGTGGAACCACTAATACTCTGTAGTGGTTAGTGATGACTTTCTGCTTGAATAGATTAAGAACTGTTTTTTTCTGTCAGGGTTTCCAGAGGGAATTAGCTGAGGGGCAAGACTGACCCCAAAGGGCGGTGCCATCCCATGGCTGGAGCCTTAGTCTTCTTCCACCATGAACAAGAGCTGCTATGTCTCACCACCAGGATAAACTGAGCCCACATAAACATTTCCTCAAGTCGCTTCCCACCGGGTATTTGTTTATAGCAACAAGCAACTAATACACCATTTATCTCCCAGGAAGACTGCCAACCTTGAAAACCATCAGTGCTTAATTAGAGCTTCCTCATGGGCGCTCACAGGCTCTCTCACTAGAGCAGGTTAGGATTAAACACACAGTGTTGCAGGTGAGGCTGCTGACAGATATGCAGCTGGCTTCCAGTGCACTATTTAGCTTCCCTTTTCCAGGAATATTTCTGTCTTTTGAAGTTCATATGAGTAAGATAATGTTTTGTTTGCTTTGAATAGTATACATACATACATGTTTAGTATGGGGCAACTTTTTTTTTTATTATTATTATTTCTTTCAAAAGAATTTCATTGTTGTCAGCCGAGCACACCTTTAATCCCAGCACTCAGGAGGCAGAGACAGGTGGATCTCTATGAGTTCAAGGTCAGCCTGGTCTCCAGAGCGAGTGCCAGGATAGGCTCCAAAGCTACACAGAGAAACCCTGTCTTGAGACCCCCCCTCCCAATAAAGAATGTAACTGTTCTCATTGTTATTAATTATTATGTGTTTATGTGAATACAGGCACACATGTACCATGGTGCATATGTGGAAATCAAATTACAAGTTTTGAGAGTTGGTCCTGTCCCCCACAGTGGGTACCAGAGATCAGACTCAGGTGGTCAGGCATGTGTGGCAAGCACAACTCTGTTTTCCTGCTGAGCAACCTCGCTGGTCTTGTCATTGCTGTTTACTTAAAAACAACAACAACAACAACAACAACAACAACAACAAAACCCAGCAGTTCACTTCAGTAGCTCTGGAAATATTGCATAGTGTATTTCACCCTTTGGAGTTTTATTTCAAATGGTTTCACAGAGTGGACAGTTGGCACCATGGTTGATTTTTAGATTTTTTTAGACTCCCCAAACCAAGCCCACACCAGTTTATCACTACAGGTTTTCCTCCCAGCCCTTCTCCTGTAGCAGTGACAGTTTCACCATCCCTGGGCTCACATGTCCAGACTTTCTCACCAAGGGGGCCATGTGCCCTGTTCTCTGTGACTGGCTTTGGCTCTGGGGCTTTTGATGCTCTGCTCATTAAAAGCCAAGTGTTGTGGGTATGGAAACAATGTCTGTCTGTCTGTCTGCCTTTTCTTCACTCACTCAGTGCTTGATGGGCATTTGCAAGTTCTGTTTGGTGATTATGAACATTCAGTATGATTTCCCCCTGTGGATACAATCTCATGTTTATACTATTTTTCCTTCCAGTGTCTGTCTCGAGAAGCAGGTGGAAGCCTGAGCCTTCAGTTTCTCGGCACAGTGGTAAGTATGGGGAAAAAAACAAAGACTGAGTGTCCTCTTACTCAGAGAGAACTGTTTGGTTTTCTCCTATGTTTCTGCTCCCCTTCATTGTGATGCTACTTTGCTATCAAATTGTGACATCTCTGTGAGAGAGGCAGAATACGTGAGGAAAGCTTCTGTGTTGGAAATATTTCAGCCACGTCTTCTCAGGGAGGAAATGCTTCTCTGGTCTGTTTATTGGGAAGTTGTTGAACTTTTTTTCCCTCATTGCTGGTTTTCTGTGTTCTTAAAAGTAAGAGTATATAATATAAAATCAGTGAGCTTGACTTCTTTTCTCCCCCTTTCCACCTTTCTCTGTTAGGTTCTTCACGTTCACCTTTCTAATGAAATTGAATCATAGTTTTGTATCTTCATTATTTTCATGTAAATTCTGTTATTTTATGTATCGCTATGTAACACATATAAGCCACATTTCTCTTTTTTCTATAAATTAATTCATGTGTACTTTTTTTAAATTTTAGGCTATCACTTTGATATGGCTTATTTGGTATATGGGTATTTTTTTTAAAGATTTATTTATTTATCATGTATACAATATTCTGCTTGCATGTACACTTTCATACCAGAAAGGGTACCAGATTTTATTATAGATGGTTGTGAGCCACCATGTGGTTGCTGGGAATTGAACTCAGGTCCTCTGGAAGAGCAGCCAATGCTTTTAACCCCTGAGCCATCTCCCTAGCCCAGTGTATGGGTATTTTGCCTGCATGTATATCTGTTCACCACCTGTGTAACTGGTGCTCATGGAGGCCACAGTATCCCCTGATGGTTGTGAACCACCATGTGGCTGCTGGGAATGGAGCTTGGGTTATTTTGAAGAGCAACCCAGTGCTCTTAACTACTGAGCCATCTGGGCAGCCTCCTCTAAGCCTTTTTTAAATGGAGACATATTTAACATTCTAATGGGTAGAGGGCATGTGTTTTTATTTACCTGTGACTCTCCCTTGTAAGCTACTTAAATTGCCTCTACTTTTTTGACATGATGAATGTGTTTTGATGCTTGGATTTTAAAATTATTTTCAAGCACATCTAAGATTTTTAAATTTATAAGATATATCTCTTCATAAACTGACTCAAATTTATAAGATATATCTCTTCATAAACTGGATCAAATCTGTGCACAACTGTATCACTGGTTATGGTTTTAGTTTTTTTTTTCTAGGCTTTAGGATACCACCCACTGTATGATGGAGTGCTTTGTGCTCTACGTAGTATAATTCTGATTACTTGCTATGTTTGTTACTGTGAGTACATGTAAGTTTACAGTTACTGTTAATGCCAATTATAGTTCTCAGAACATTGTCTTAGTGCTTTGCCATCTGTGTATAGAGATGCATGTGTGATGCAGAGTTGTATAGTGGTAGATTGTGTATAGGCAGGCCCCTGTTCAATATAGCATAAGCTTTAGGTATTTAATCTCAGGTTCATGGTTACTCTTCTTGTTCTAGTTAGTACATTTTATAAACAAAAATATTTTAATATATGGCTTGAGAAGTCCTATGAGACGCAATAGGATATGCTTATTGGTATGAACCACCATATGTGTGTTTGTACATATAGAAAAAAAGCAAGAGATTTGTCTTAAGAAACTGCTTACATACTTGCAGAGGCTTTGCAAATCCCTGATTTTCAGAGGAGGACAGTAGATTGGTAACCCATGGAAAAATCACAGTTCAAATTCATAGTTGGTCTTCTGACTAAACTCCTGGTTGGTTCCCATGAAATCCTTCAACTAATTGGATGATGTTTAGCTAAGTATTTGAGGCATTCTGCCTTGCTCAAACTCTGCTGATATAAAATATTACAGTCCTTTGGGGAAACATCCAAGATAACTTGGCCCAAGTATCTGGGTCCTTGGGCTTTGCTAAGTTGACCCATAAAGTTAACCATCTTGGAAATGTTTGTCCATCCCCTGGAGAAGTGGTTCTCAACCTGTGGGTCATGACCCCCCAAACCATTGGAAAACACAGATATTTGCATTATGATTCATAACAGTAGCAAAATCCCAACTATGAAGTAGCAACATAAATGATTTTATGGTTGAGGGTCACTCCAACGTGGGGAACTGTATTAAAGGTTCAAAGCAGTGGGAAGGTTAAGAACCGCTGCTCTAGAGGGATCTGAGTTAGTAACAGTAGCTCTCTCCTAGAATAGGGTAATGTACCTTCCATGTGGCAACTCATTTGGACAACAGTCTGTCAGTGTGCAGAGACCCGTCACATTCTTTCTTGTATGCACAGAGTTCTGTATGAATTTCCTCTGTTCCCAGGACTCAGGCTAGGATGGCCATTGCTGCTTGAGCCTCTGCTGATGGGCAACTCTACATAAGTCTTGGACATTATTTCTAGAGTAATCCCATTTACTCTAAACTCACACAGTGGGAGTTTCGATGGTAGGTTTACTGTGTTGTTCGAGGGATCAGTGTGGAGCAGGCCTGACGATGATGAACTGTTTTAAGTATAGACTGATCCAGAGTTCTTCCTTTTGTTAAGAAGCTTGCAGGAGTAGCTGCATCAAGCCACAGGCCATGGATTCAGTCATCCTCCTGAGACACTTTGGAGATTCTTCTCATTAAGTTGATTTCTTTTAATATTGATAAGCATGGTCTTTAATGTTTGAAGAAGAGTTTAATTTTAGATCAGAAAAATGTTTAAGTCACTAAGATGGGAAAACAACTGATACCATTCTTTTTTTTTTACTCTGAACTTTGAGGCAACTTTATTACTTAAAAAAAAAAAGCCTGCTTTCATTAGATATTAGCTAATACAAGTGTTAGAAATTACATAAATATAACTACATAATTGTGCAGGTACATTTAAAAGAGCATTTTATATTTGGATGTGGTGGCATAATCCTATAGTCCCAGCACTCAGGAAGTGGAGACTGGGAAGGATGTTGAGGTCAACCTGTCCCTGAAACTCAAGGGATGGGGATCGACTCAGCCTGGCATTTCTGTTTGTTTCTCTGCTAGAGACTGAGCCCTGATGCCTTTCGAATGTTGGGCAAGCATTCCACCACCTAACTATTACCCCCCGCCCGCCCCCAGCCCTGTTTTGTGGAAGGGTTAGGTAGTTATGACTCATGAGCTACAAAACGATGTGACTGTAACAAACTGTGAAGGGACATAGATATTCCTGACTTACAGGATGACAAAATAGCCTCCTGTGGTTTCACGGACGCTACTGGTTGACAGGGAACTCTGGGGTCACTATCTCCCCAAACCCACATTCCTTAGGTGAGGCAAAGGAGGCAGGGTGATGTCAGCACACACAGGGGGCAGCCTCCAAGGAGTGACAGTAGTGAGCTCAGGGAACCAAGTATACAGCAGCCAGCATCACTCCAACCTCTAACCTCCACCCCAGTGCCCACACGTGGAACCCTCCAGAGCAGAGGATGGTCATCCTTTCGGCAGAGTAAGAAAATGCTGGAAGCTCTTGGAGATTTTTGTCCCTGTAGTGATGTGTGTCACTCCTGCCAGCATTAGCCCAGTTTATCTCAGTACACAACCCAGAAACCTGAAAGGTCATCTTCAGTTTATAGGCTCTCACATCCACTTAAGTAAATCCACGTGAAAGGTAGGGATTGGAGAAGTTGGAGATCTATTCTTCTGTCCCCTCTAAAGCATTAGCTCATGATTTCCAATTCAAGCGAAGGATCTCTCTGACATACTGTTTGAGCCATGGTGGACAATTGTGAACCACAGTGAAGCACCATGGGATGCTTCAGCAGCATGAACGTAGCCTTCTGAATGAATGGGATGGTCCATTCAGGGTACATATATACCCCTCACGTCCAGAGAAGCACAGTTGACCTGGGTGTATGTGTTGTGTATATTTTTACCTTCAGTGTACTTGGCTATTCTCTAGCTTCTCAAATGTAGTTTATAGGATGTTTACTACTCCTTAGGTAGTGGGACCTTGGAGAATGGCAACAATAAAAGAGGTAGACTAAAGCCTTATGCAATAGTAAGTTGTAATGAATAATCTGAAGTAGTCTCATGAAAATCCACTACACCTGGCAGGGGCATGAAAGCATAACACAAGAAAAATTCTGTTTTTTTTTTTTTTAACAAAACTGAGGTCATATGACTCTTGTTTTCTTGAAGTTTTTTTTTCACAAGCACTCAATTCTCCTCACATGACTCCATTCTTGGACCACGTTCTCTCCCCTTTTTGTTTTTTTAAAAGCAGGGTATCTAGAGTGGTTTTGACTTGAGATGTTGCAGATAACCCTAACTGCCATTTGATGTATGAGCATCCTATAATCAAGCAAATTGTAAACATAATGAAAAATATTGGTACACTTGGAAGCATTGTATATGATACTCTGCCACCAAGAACAGGGACCCAAGCTCTGTCCAGTACTATTGGTTACATTATGTTATTATATTAGCTTGAAAAGAGACCCCATATGACTAAGCCCACACTTGCCCTTTAGGAACACAATGTTATGGTGATGATTTATGCAAACTGGAAGCAATCCAAACCCCAAGGAAAAACTAAATGCAGTCCCTTCTTCAGATGAACAAATGAAAGGCTATTATGGCCCCAAGGTCCAGTTATAAGCACAGGATCATCTGTAGAATCTCTTCTCCCTTAACTTGGCCCCAGGTGGGCAGACTTGACTTCTAATGATATGGTCAAGATCTCCTTTTGCTGGAGGTTTTCTATCTTTCTGGTGACTTTTCACTGTCTCCTCACCCTCTGCCATTGTCCTTGATGGCCGGGGGCCAGAGGAGCTGAAGAGGAGTCCACGTTTTTGTAGATCCATGTGCAATGACAGACTCATTCCCCTTTGTAATTTTATTCTGGAGAAGTAAAGTTAGAACAGGTTAATGCACCAGTTATTTCCTTCTGCAGTAAAATCAGGGAGGTTGTAACCTACATGAGTAGGAGTCTATTGCTGGAAGTGATCCTACAACATAAGCAGAATCTGAACCGATAGTCAAGGGTTTATGAATT